TATAACTGATTTACGAAAAAATAGTAATATTACATAAACGGAAACATTAATAAGCAGAGGTAAGGAAATTAATCCTCATCTACAGGATCATTAAAAAAATAATCGAATTGTTTCAAGGATCTGTCACATTATTTATTACTAGTCAGACAAAAAGATTTGAGAAGTGAGTCGTTTCAATCCACGCACGCACGCACGCACGCACGCACTGACGCTAGCGTCCTCGCCGGTGCTCTGTCTGCCCTCCGCGCGCTGCGCATGCGCACTGCCACTGTCCGGGCTCGTGCGGGGCCCGTGACGAGGCGATCCAGCGGGAGTGTTAGCTGTGTAATGGCGGCTTCGGTGTTGCTCTCCGCGGAAAGCGCCGTGCCCTTGTTTACCGTCGGCCCCCCCGCCGCAGCTGCGGCGGCGGGAGCTGCTCATCACGGATTACCCAGTGCTCCTGGAGCCGCGTCCTGGAGCCGCTCGCTGGACCGGGCGCTGGACGAGGCGGCGGCCACCGGAGCGCTCACCCTCAGCGGCAGGAAGCTGAAGGAGTTCCCGCGGAGCGCCGCCGGACACGACCTGACCGACACCACCCGCGCCGGTAACGAGCTAACCTTCACATTCCGTTCCCCTTTAACCGTTTTAACCGTTAACCCGTCCAGAAGCTAAGCTAAAGCCGCTGTGGTCGAGTGTTACGCTAGTTTATTTACACTGTGTTTGTCTGGTGTGTAAACACACGGGTGTGTTGTGCTGGAAGCCCGCGGAACTCACGATCGGTCATTTGTGTCCAAGAAATGTGAACGTTTCAGAAATGAGCTTTGTCTAAAGTTGAGTTTAACTCATAAACTTCCAAGTCATGGTTGTGTTAATGGGGATAGCTGTCAAATTGAGCTCCATATAGCTTATTTGAGACCCAAACATTGGGTTTGTTTGACCGGTTCAGAGGTTTAAGGTGTTTGATTATCAAACTGAGGATCTGTGGTCATCATGTGAATTGGGTTTTGATTGTCAAGTGGGTTTCTTAAGATCTTGGTGACTTCATAAGGTCTGATTACGAGGTTTGGTCATTATTTTGAGGAATGCTGTCATATTAAATTGTTTAACCCTTTAACTGTCACCCCCCATTTTTTAAAATAGGCATGCAGGTGCACTATCCAAACTTAAATTGTTGTAATTTATGAACACTTTGGAATACAGACATAAGGTTGGTCTCTTTTTTAATTTCAGCAAATTATCGCAAAAGTGGAATTTTAAAAAAAAATGTAAGTATCAAAAAGGTATAGTAGTTTAAATTTACTGTAAAGAAAATGCACTATATGAATTTTATTTTATATATATATATAAATATTTTACATATCAGGTTTTACTCTAAAATTGGTATACAATTATAGCCTTATGTCTAAATAAGTTATGTTTCAAATTTGAAGTTGATATGAAAAAAATTGAGGTTCCTGTGAGATTTTATTTAGGGCGTTATGCCACAAACAGCCACCGGGGGCCATCCAAACTCCATTGAATTTTTTTTATGCATTTTTCTGTCACAGATGTCTAGATTTCTCTGTCAATATTACTTTATGTTTGCAAACTTTGCATGCAAAGACCCCAATTTATACTGTGAATATTTACATTAAATGAGGACAGTAGAAGCAATCAAAACCAACAAGAGCAAAAATATGATATACACACACAATCTCTTAAAGTTTCTCTTTAAACTCTTCTCAAAACCCCTGTTTAAAAACCTCTGACGTTGATTATATGAGACCCTGTTAAGAGGTTTTAATGTTAATATCGTATTTTATTACTATAGCAGATGAACAGATGCTTCATTTATTATACCAATGCTTGAAAAGGACAATATTAGCACTATGACTGTTCATAAAAATCGTTAAATGCATGCCTCTTCCGCACATATTAAAACAGGCCCTACTGTAATGTAGCTTGCTTATCTGACACATACAGGTGCAGGCCTCACGGTTTAGGAGTTTCTAGACATGTTCGGACATGTGATTTAAATTTAATCGCAAGAATCGCAATCAGAAAAGCAGTGTGAGCTGTATAGGACCCCATATGTTTATAAAATATTTTATATTGTACGTTTCATAAAACCTCTTTAATGAGTCGTGTGTACAGTAAAACCAGTCCAGGCTATATAAACATCTGTCTGAAGGTTTTTGCGGACTGCTGTATGTTTTAAGTGTTTGCATCATGACTGGTAAATCACTAAATGACTACCTGATTGATCGGCATGCAGATAGACAGGTTCATTACTCTTCTTAAGTTATGACAATACCACAATGACTTCTCTGTGTGTACAGTTGCTTTGTGGTTTTGTTGTGCGCAAATTGCTGGGAAAATTAAAATTTAATTTATTTTAGTCTAAAGCATAATGCATATGATGCTTAATGTCTCAAATTACCATTGCAAAGGGAAGATGGATGCAGAAAACTGTTTTTATTGTAGACATCAGCTATATAACACAAGGAGGTAATTGCATTGTGTAGATGCATAACTTTAACCTTTATGTCTTAGGGAATAAAGTTAGTTTAACTTTGTCCGTTCTGTTTGTCACAGAGCGGAAAGTGGTGTTTCTTAATGCAAGTTTCACTATTATTACAGCTCATATTTAACAAAGCCTATAGGTCTAGTAAGTGTTAGCCGCCCAGAATTGTGTTGCACGGTCTGAAAATAGGAAATGGTCATCGTAGCTCAGGACTACAGCTCTGATCCTGAGCACACTTGGTGTCTTGTGTCTGTGTCAATATTGATCGTCTGTGCAGTGCATGCTGGGATGTTCACAAAATTCTCTGATTTCGTTCTCATCCAAAGCCGGTTCACAAAAATGCAGACTGTAGGAATGAATGGGAACAAAATAAAGGAAAGCTTTTCAATGCTCTAACCCCAAAAATAGCTCTGTTGCTTTGCTGTGTTTGTTATGGTTTGCTAATGACAGATTGTGAGTGCCATAGCTTTGTTTCTGCCAGAGTATTTTTTTAATGAGGTCATTTTAGGGTGATAGTAACAGTTTAACATCGGCTCTTGATTCTGACTATAAGAGGTTTATCAATAATGACTTTTTTTCTGTAAAGGCTACTTATTAAATTTAGGAGAACAAGTGACAGTTGTGATTGCCAGAGATGAAATAAACAATGTTTTTGACCTCTGAGGTCCTCTTGTAATGAGTTCAACCCTCAAGCAACATACATAACTACCACATTTTGCTTTAAGTTTAATCGCAACATATAAACTACATGATTTTTACTGTATATTTCTGCCATATGGACATCAACTTGACATAGTCACCACCGATAAGCTACAACTAAATATAAGCCTAACGTAGAAACTTTAAAATAGAAACTTACATTTTCTGTAAAGCTGCTTTGCAACGATTTGTATCGTGAAGAGCGCTATACAAATAAACTTGATATGAATCGAATTGAATTGAATTTAGTGATCTATATAATGATTTATATATATATAAACCTATTCTAACTTCTTAAATCTAAATGATACAATACTGATAACTAGGGATGTAACGATTCGATTCGATTCTCGATTTTTATTTTATTTTTTTACAAAATGAGATTTAAGACAAATGATAAATTAAATGTGTCCTTTTATTATTGCTTGGACAAAATGCTGCACATTTCTTTGTGAAATTGAAATATAACACTATAATAATATACTAATATAGCACTTGCATATTGTTGCTCTTTTGTTGGTTTTGATTGCTTTTATTGTCCTCATTTGTAAGTCGCTTTGGATAAAAGCGTCTGCTAAATGACAAAATTTAAATGTAATGTAAATTTAAATAACAAAACTAAATTGAAATTTTAAAACGAGCCCAAAATCAAATACATAAGTAACACAAATAAAATAAAGAGGCAAGATGAAAAGAAAAAATACCATCTAAACTTTTCTAAAGACAGTAAGTTCCCATCAGACATACATTCATATAAACTCCTACACCTAAATGAATCGCGATTTGTTTAGCATCTCAACCGATTTGAATCGTCACATATTTGAATCGATTTTCAGCCGGCTCGCAGTTAATCATTACATCCCTACTGATAACCAGAATACAACTATGTCGATTTTTACAATAAATTATAATGTATTTCATACGGTTTTCTTCCAAAAAAACGTAATTTTTTACAATACAGTACAGTAAAATTGAACAAATTGCCCTGTTAAGACTAATACAATTTTTAATTTTATATAATAAGGTAACCTGCAGAGAAATAATGAACACATTTTGATGGCCACTTTTTCCAGTATATGCATCTTTACACATCTAGTTAAGACTGCCCTGTGCCAGTGTGAAAACGCAATGTCATATAAAAGCCAGACTGTGTAAAGTGTAAATTTGGAGTAAGATCCAAATTATCTCTACGTTTGCATCTCTAAATGCATCATTCATACGTATCTTTAAAACAACAACAAAACATGTAGCTTAAGGTGTCTTTACACATCTGAGTTAAGGCTGCTATGTGCCTGCTTAAAATTTAGTGTAAAGACGCAATGCTGCATAAAAGCCAGACTAAATTATGCCTGCTCTGACCCAGCTCAGCCCCAGTATCAGAGTATACAGTTGTAATTACTGTGTAAATGTATTTATGCAAGTAGAAAAAGACACTCAAATGCCACTTCAGAAGCACTTCTGTGCCACCTTTGCACTGTAAATGTTGCATTACAGAGTTACATGGTAAATAATAACAGGTTTGTCAGGAAGTATTTTAACTTCTTTTTTTTTCGTTAAAAGTCCTAGCATTTCTTACAGTGTGTGAAAGCTAAGTAATTTTAATGAGTCACAGATCTGAATGAATCTAAATATGCGTCATTGAAATGATCTGTTGGCTGTTCGTATTGAATAATTCATAGTCAAGCAGCTATTGTTGAGAGTGTTTGTAAGTCTCTGCTGGCTTGACGTGATATTTGACCTCAGATATTTCCTCGTCTGATTGCTTTGGCTGCGTTGTCCTGTGAACTGTGCCAAATGTACTGGTCTCCTGCTAAGGAATGCTGTCTTCCCTCAGCTCAGAAGACTCAGAACAGGTGTCCTCCCTCGGAAAGCGATTACAAGGCCTTCTGGACTGCTGTCAAGTAGGCTTGCCAGTGAAAGTAAAATGCGCATGGCACTTTTAAGCTATTTAAAAGCGAAGGAAAGCGAGGAAAAGAGGGAAAATTCAAACGAACTAAAAACAAACATTTGCTTTATGCCAAATTGCCACTATTTGAAAGTGAAAGTAAAATGCACACGCCGCTTTTACAAGCTATTTAAAAGCGAAGGAAAGCGAGGAAAAGAGGGAACGCCCCCGCGGTGATACCGGTATTACCGGTGTTGTCACACGTCGATTAACCAGTGGGAAAATTTCCTCACCGTCACAACCCTACTGTCAAGCAGTGCAGACAGCGCGATTGTCCCCGCTGACTGTTTAATTAACTTCAGACTCCTATTTAGTGGTAGTTGCTGTTGTTGTCTTGTCAGTTAGTTGATAGTTTTCTTCAAGATGATGGAAGGAAATATTTTGATCTTGCAGTCTTGGCAGATAGATGGAAGTTTGGTTGTGAATTTTTGACTCACAGTTCTATTAATAATAGAGTTATTTGACTATTCTGGTTAATTAGCACTCTTACCCCCGGTTTCACAGACAAGGCTTAAGCCTAGTCCTAGACTAAAATGTAATTCTGAGCTGTTTCAAATGAAAGAAACATGCACTGACTGATCATAAAATATATCAGTGCCTTTGTTTTGTTTTATTGATTATTTTATTGTGATGGTTTCAACTCCTAAAGGACTCCAGAACTCTTGTATATTTGTGTTATTTTTAGTTTTTTAGTTATATATTTGTTAGTTGGTTATTTATTTGTTGGTTAATAATTTATTGGATATTTATTTAGCTATTTGTTGGTTCTTTAATTATAGGCTATTAATTTATTTTCTTTTTTTTGTTGTTGTTTATTTATTGGCTGTTTATTTTTATTTTTTCTTTGATTACGTTGTATGAAAGGAGATTTAATGGAACCACATTGAGTTTTAGATTTAAAAAAAATCTAAGATCAACATTTTGTTGCTTTTTTGTTTTGTTTAATTAGATGAATAAACCTTTTAAGACTGAATCAAGAAATCTCTAGAACATTTTTGGGTCCTGTTTCATCTTAAAATGTAAATGTAACATTTTTTCTTTTTTCATTCTTTAATTTTTTCTTTCTTTCTTTCTTTCTTTCTTTCTTTCTTTTACATAGTGCTTTGTGAATTTCCCCTCAGTACAAAATATTGCATGTAAATATTCCATTGTAATTTGTAATTTCCAATAGTGCTGTGCGGTATGACTAGAATTTATATCACGGTATTTTTCAAAATTAGACCATTTTCACGGTACATGACGGTATTTTTTTTTCATGCATGACAGGGTGTTAACCATATTTTCTACTGATTGAGAGGAAATACTGCAGTATATTGACTTAGAATGCCATATTTTACTGTCACGATGAGTGAATATTGTCAAAAAACACCGCGATATAATGATACACTTCACATCCGATTTCTTTCCCAGCTGTTTTCATTCACTTGAGATATAACTGACTGCGTTTACCTGAATGATTGTCGAAATGGGTATTTTGTCATAATTTTATGTGTCTGCTCAGAGGATTCAGAAGAGGATTCAGTTCGGTGTTCGCATAGCCAATGGCGATTCAATTGCCAAGGTGTTCGTAGAGGGCTGGTTGTGGTTTTTGCTATTAACATATTCAGAAAATGTAAATATTTTCAGAAAATACAAACAAAACATTTTTAAAAGTTCTGAATCTTTTTAAATGTATTTAGAAAATACAGACAAAATCTTTTAAAATAGATGAAGTGTATTGTCATTTATGCTAGTAGTATATTCAGAAAATGTGAATATATTCATAAAATGCCAACAAACTTAAAAAAAAAAGGTCAGAATCTTTTAAAATAAGTATGTTTTCAGAAAATACAGACAAAATATTTTTAAATAAAGTACATTTTCATTGGCTTTATATTGTCATTTCTGCTATTTGTATATTCAGAAAATGTAAATGTATTCAGAAAATGCATACAAAATATTTTAAAAGTTTTTAAAAAACATTTTCATTGTATTTATATTGTCGTTTTTGGTAATGAAGTTTACATCAGACACTGTAGAAATGAAATGCAAAAAACCCAGTGACTGTTAAGATTAGACTATCACAGCTGCCATGTGTTGTCTGAAGCATCTGTAAGATCTGCAGCATCTCCTGCGTGACGATTGTCTGACGTCCCTTCACGCTTTGCTATTATTAGCTCTGAATCTTCTCTGAGTGTTGAAATGAGTTTTGTAGCACCAGTGAGGATATACTGGCCTCTTTCATGTAAGCCAGAACAGAAAAATGGACACTTATCTCGCTCCTAGTCCGGCAGCTATTTTTGGTGGTCATGGGGTCCCTTGTGTGAGTGTTTGTCCTCTGGGTTTAAAGTCTGAGTGTGTGTGTGTGTGTGTGTGTGTGTGTGTGTGCATGCTAGGCTTGCCGCTATAGACGGTGTTGACGGTGATACCGGTGTTAAGCCGCAACAATACAGTAAAAGAACAGACACTACAATTAAAAACAAAGAGGGAAAATTCAAACGAACTAAAAACGAACAATTGCTTTACTCCGAATTGCCGCTATTTGAAAGTGAAAGTAAAAGTAAAACGCGCGCACAGCTTTTACAAGCTATTTAAAAGCGAAGGAAAGCGAGGAAAAGAAGGAACGCCCCGCGGTGATACCGGTATTACCGGTGTTGTCACACGTCGATTAACCGGTGGGAAAATTTCCTCACCGTCACAACCCTAGTGCATGCATGCAAATATATAAAGAGTTTCTTGAATTTCTGATGAATCACCGTTATTGAAAAAAATAATATCGCGATACATATTGATATTGAATTATTGTCCAGCCCTAGATGAAATCAAAGCAAGATTTCTGGATTGGTTCTGAAAAAGATCCTAAATCTTGATGCGGAAGGCACTTTGTTTACCCCTAAACATGTAGCCTACTAAACGGTTAAACACAGTTAAACACAGTCATTTGAGATTATGAATCTGACATGGAGTATTGTGGGATTGAAAGTGGTCTGGAGCAAGTGAGAAATGAGTATTGAGCAGCAGTAAAACATTTTGTACTGTAGTATATGCACCAGTAGTGCTGTTATTATATTCAGATTTCAGATCGAATGCTTGTACTGTTGGCTGCATTTTGCTTTATGTATAAATTGGGCATGCATTTTGTAATTTGGTCATGCATTTTTTTTATTTCAAATTAAATTTAAGAGTGCATATAACTGCAGAGTTCCTTCTGCATTTTGTAATTTTAGCATGCATTTTGTATTTCAAATTAAAATTTGACAACTGTAATTATGCATATGTTTTGTTGGCTGTTTTGAAAGCAATCATAGGTCATAATAAAGACAACCACACTTGAATTCTGCATGCACAGTACTGTGTGAAGTTCTGTGAACCCTCAAAAGGGTTCAGTCACTTGTTCCTGCTGGCTGCTAGCTGACAATTGGATAGACCTGGATAATGAGTGTGCAATGGAAATGTCAGTTTTTCCCCACACAGACTAGAATCAGACATCTATTTTTCTATTTATAGCAAATGAGGAGTTCAGTAACTCAGTATTTGGATTTTATTTAGGCTATGTTAAGTTTTACACCAAAAAGGTGGAAATATGTATTGCTTTGTAATGTACTTGATTAGGCAGCAATGAACCTTAATATATCCTGCTTCCAATATAAGCCAATTCAGGTCAAAAGCAGTAATAAAAACATAAAAAAGACACATTTTGGTTGATGCTGATGTATTTGTATAATTTCCCTGACCTGAAGAAGAAGAAAGGTTCTCAGAGACTGGAATTCCAGCACATTGGTCCAGGAATGGACAGCCAAGAGCTCATCAAACACACTTTTACATGAGCGAAACCAAAGACAGGTGTACAGCCGTCCTGGATGCCAGACATGCGTTTCTCATTGTCTCTTTCTCTCTCTGTTATCTGTCCTCTCAGATCTATCACGAAACAGACTGACAGAGCTGCCGGTGGAGGTGTGCATGTTTGTGTCGCTGGAGAGTTTGAACCTGTACCAGAACTGCCTGCGTTCACTACCAGAGCGTCTGATAAACCTACAGTCCCTCACCTACCTAAACATCAGGTCATATACACAGACACAGCATTCATAACATAACACTAGAATATATTTATCTCAAACATTGGTATTGAACCATTTTAAATGTTACCACAGCTGAACGGCAGCAGTGTTTTAACATGGAGTTCTGGAGATATGAAAAACATTGATTGGATTTGTTAAAAAATACGTGCTAGAGTCCATTTGTTCTTACAATTCATGATTTGAGATTTAAAGGGATAGTTTACCCAAAAATGAAAATTCTGTCATTAATTACTCACCCTCATGTCGTTCCAAACCCGTAAGACCTTCATTCATCTTCGGAATATGAATTAAGATATTTTTTATGAAATCCAAGAGCTCTCTGACCCTCCCATAGACAGCAATAGCCGATAGATTTTTCTTTTATGCCAAAAATCATTAGGATATTAAGTAAAGATATGTATAAATCTCAATTTTGAAAAATTGACACTTAAGACTGGTTTTGTGGTCCATGGTCACATTTGTGTTCCGAAGATGAACGAAGGTTTTCCGGGTTTGTAATGACATGGGGGTAAGTGATTAATGACAGAATTTTCATTTTTGGGTGAACTAACCCTTT